TCCCAAAAACGCTTCATCCTCTCTGAATGCTCTTTCTTCCGTTCATCTGTCCACTTTACTCCAGGTTGACGATTTACTTTTTGCTCAAACTTTATATGTGCGATTTTATAGCGGCATTCAGTGCGATCTTCGAGATTTTTTATATTGATCTGTTGTAGATAGTCTTGGACCTCTTTTAGCCACTCTGTTCCGCATTTACTATTCATAATTATATTGAGTAGTTCCTTTGGTATTCTGAACTGTTTCATTCTGTAGACATGTGCATAGAACTTTGTTCGTCGTTTTCTGATTTCTTCCGTTATCGTATTTGTCTTTTGATACAGTTCATTTTGAGGTCTTTTCATTCAAATACCGTTTCTATTGATTGGCCCGTAAATCTTTCTGAGAATTTTTCGTTCTTGTTTTTCTATTTCTCTAATTCTTGAGTGGCCGCCAATAACCATTGTTTCAGCTGCGTAGATTGCTTCTGGAAGAACCGTTGTGTTATAATGCCTCAATTGTAAATATATATATATAGTTAATATATATATATATAATATAAATATATATATATATATATATATATATATATATATATATATATATATATATATACTAAGAAATTTTGTTCCGTTACCTGTTAATTATATGAATGAATCTGGGTAAAAATTGGATATTCCAAGTTTGGTAAAATGCTTCAATAAAAATACCTTATACATATTTCGAGAGCACTACGTTCCTCCTCAATAGTAAAGATCTTGGTATCACAAAAATATCTAAAATCGCTGAATAAAATTACAATGTCGTTGTGAAATTATAAATTAATTTAAATCCAATCAATTATAAATTTCTATACTTTCAAACTAGATTCTTTACAAGAAGTTTTAAGAGACGACGCCAGTATTAACTTCATGAAAAATTTAGTTGGTATTTTCCAACTTTCCTTACAATACAAAGTAAACAATAATTGTACTCTGCATAATTTTTACCATATAATCATGCAGATAAATCCCAAAAATCATTATATGATGAATTACTTTGAAGTATCATGAAACAAACCTCTCGAAGATTCTGATTCAATTTTCTAATGAAATATTACAATATATTTCTTAGAAAAAGTTAGGAAATTCCTTTTCAAATGATCATGTAAATGCATGTAAAAGAATTGCTATGTTATTTTAATTGTAACATTATCTGTCATTAACACTAAAACGTTGGGCTAGGAAGGTTACAGACTTTTGTTGAATTAATCCATGGTAGTGGAGGCAGGTAAAGTCGTTGTTCGTCAGTTTCATGTGATGGACAGACATCACACAGCTGGATGGTAAAACGATGGGCGCGATTTGTAAAGATTTTGTGAAGAATTGACCTAACTTCAGTTATCCCCATTAGGTGGTTGGTCGATTTTGAACAATAAAAGGATATAGGTCCCCTTTCATGAACTGAGTGTGTATAGGGATGGAAGTTGCATCCTGCGTACTGAGTGAGATGATTTTGGTTCAATGATCTGAGTAAAAATGTGTATCACGTGGTCTATTTTATAAGGGCTGTACACTGATAAATATGAAGTTTTTGAAAAGATATATATTGTGACCCTTTGCTGCAGGATTGTGGCGTTATAATGTCATTAGGAAATTCTTAATAGCACACAATTTAGTGATAGTAATTAGAATAAATAGTGAATTGGGAAGAATAATTTTATATTGCAATCTATATTGTTTCAGAAAATGTGTTTCAGAAAACTGGAAATGTATAATTCAGATTATATCATTTTTGTTTTTAAGATATTAAATTGAAAGTTTTAGTACAAAAATTCGATTTCCCAAATATAATTTCTTGGAAATATGTTAACAGTTCCGAATGATTTAGCTTATTTAAATTTTTCAAGAAAGGATACTTGTTGGGCATAGAGATAACTCAAGATCTTTGGAATTTTGAGTAATTCTTTGCTAATTTTCATGACTTTTGTATCGAAGCTCGCAATTCGTATTTCGTCTTTCAGCTCGCAATTCCATATGTTTGAAGGTTCTATTTTACCCTGTATCAATTTAGGGATATTTGAACATATATTAGTTATCATCTTTATAAATCTAAAATGTTAACAATATTTTTAATGACGCTCAGAAAATTATCTTCGATTCGAATCTTTATCATTTCGTTGAATTTATTTTCCATATAAAACACTTTGAGAAAAAAGTGATCTACTCCAGAATGTATTATAATATTTCGTTCCACCAGTTGTTTGTATACCCCTAGATCATTACAACTGGGATAATGGCGGTATGCACATAGAATGGTTTCTGCAGCCGGTTCCATCCTTTTTGCCTTTATGCCTTCGCGACTAAATACTGGATTATTCTTTTGAAGCCTCTTCCCTTTACCTCGCCTACATGTTCATTGTCGATACATCGCAAACACGAATCTACTGACCTAATTGTTCACAACGTAACACAGTTTCGTTAGAGAAAGTAATTAAGTGAAAGTTTTTCCGTTCAGAAAATCTCTTTTCCGCCAATCAGTCAGAAAATGCATCACTGAGTTTTTACACGTTATATGGTATACACGCATCACAAACTCACACACACACATTTATATATGAGAAACATTCTTTACATTGTAGAATTACATTAATTTCAATTGGTACAATAATTACAACTAAGAAGAATGCTCTCAAAAGGACTGGATTCAGTTTTGAGCCTGATCCTCCATTCAGCCCTCGAGCAGAAATATTGGTTGAAACAAAAATATTGGTTAAATTTATATTTACAATAATATACAACTTTATTTGAAAAAAAAAATTACCTCAGAAATATTAAACATTTGAGACAATTTCACATCGTGAAGAACATTTGTGTTAAAAAAATATGAAAACATATGATACAAAAAATTGATTCATACATTATTGCCTACATTCTAATCATCGAAATACTCTGCCACACTATAGTATTCCTTTGTTAAGAGCAGATATTTAACTCTTAAACAAATGAGCTTTCAGTACTTTCAAATTCGATGGTAAATGGTTGAAAATTTCGATACTCTGATAATAGAGTGCTCAAATTTAGCTGTTTCATGCGTAGGAATAAGTAAAACATCCCTGTTCCTTGATGAATACTCATGATTACTATTCAAATTAATAAACCTATTTTCATTTTCTTCAACATAAAACAAGCATCTATAAATATATAAACATGGTAAGGTGAGCATGTAATTATTAATGAAGATAGGTCTACAAGATGTTCGCTGATGAATATTGAATATTGATCGAAGTATTCGCTTCTGTGTATATTTATATCTGTAAAGCAGCCCTACAGCAGAATTTTATAATTTAGATGACTATATACAAGACTGTAATACACATTCATAACACAGTTTCTAGGTACTATGTTCTTAATTCTAGAGATTACAAAAAATTTGTTACTCAATTTTTCACATAAGACCTCAATGTGTGATGTCCATCTCAAATTTCTGTCTATATATATTCCAAGAAACTTTGTTGATTGGGATGATGATATGAAGGTACTAATTCCATTGCCCTTCAGACAAAAATGAACACATACAGTTTTGTCAACGTTCATCATCAGATTGTTCATTCGACACCAACTTACAAACTCCCTCACAATGCATTCACATGCCTCCAGAAGTTCTTCAGGAGTCCTGCCAGAAACGATCATCGATGAATCATCGGCATAAAGTGTCACCAAAAACCGGGAGAACTTCTCAGGCAAATCGTTTATGAACAATATGAATAGAAGAGGTCCAAGCACAGAGCCTTGCGGCACCCCAAGAGCAATATCATGTCTCTCAGAATAACTCTCGCCTATTTTCACTACCATTTTCTTCAAGATAACTACGTAACCAATTCAGAAACACCCCTCTAAAACCTAAGTTGTAGCATTTATCGAGTAAAAATTCAAAGGTTAGTGAATCAAATGCGGAAGATAAATCAAGAAATAACGCCGCCACAAACAAGTGTTTATCCAAACACTCGTAGACGGATTCGAAAAACTCAACTGCAGCTGATTGAGTTGAGTGGCCGCTTCTGATCCATGTTGCGCGGAGTCAATTATTTTGAATCTACCGAGATAACTCATCATTCCTGCGATACAATTTTCTCTATTACCTTAGAAAAGATGCTCAAAATGGATGTTAGGCGATAATAAGTAATTTCACTTACGGTTCCATTCTTAAATACTGGAATTACTATGGATTGCTTAGGGATATTGGGAAACTTTGCAGTAGTGATGGAAACATTGATGAGATATGCAAAGTGCTTGCCAAGAATTTCACTAATTCCCTTCAAAAGTTTGGCCGATATGGAATCAAAACCGACGCTTTTTTTATTTTTGAAGGGTCTAATGGTATCCTCAACTTCAATTTTAGTGACAGGGTAGAAATAAAAATTGGTGTTCACCATGGGTGATAACGTACAAATCCGAGATAGTTTATTGCCATATCGAGATGTTAATTTCGTACTAGCCATTTTGGAAAAATGTTCGGCGAAAACATCAGCTAACTGATTTGGATCGTCAAACACCTTCAAAGTCTGACGTCACATCACATCACACATCCGCTACATATATATATATATATATATATATATATATATATATATATATATATATATATATATATATATATATATATAAATATATATTTTGTTTCGAATAATAAAACTGTAAAATATATGTTACGTCGTATAATAGGATACGGATCTATAATTTTTTGTATTATTTTCGAATATATTTATGAAACATTAAGCCAAAAGATTGATTCAAATTTTTACTCTTATGATTATTCTTATTTTATCAAATAACACCCATTCATTGTAAAATTGTGGCGTACCTACGCTTCACGATTACTTAATTTTTTCGTTGATTTATATTTGGGTTAATCAAATATTCTTGATTCAGTGGACCTACAGTTTAACACCGGATCCGAACGGCAACTGGACTTGTAATGTACACTACCCAGCATATACCATCTTCAAACTACTTTAAATTATTGACAAACACACACATCCATGCCTTCCACCGGGGTTCGAACCCGAGTTCTACCGCACCATAGTCGGGTGTTGTCCCAACTAAGCTACGGAGAGCGACTTAATCACCTTGTTTGTCAGTCCAAAGAAGCGTCGCGTCGTGATGAGAAATGAGTCACAATTATTAAGCAAAGTGTGTAGGTACATATTATAATATATATAATATATGCAGTATTCTGTAAAAAGTGTTAATCGGCTTATGGGTCTTCAGACCCCTGCTTTTAATTATATGTAATAATAATAATAATAAGAATAATAATATAGGAATCACTATTTACCCTTTCAATATCTGCAATTATATTATTTGATGATTGATGAGGCCGATACTTGGAGAAAATTAATATCCATAATGAAACAATATTCACAATTTTCTCATAATTTAATAAATACGTGTGACGCGTTTCGAAGTACTACTTCTTTATCAAATGCTGAATTAAATATACGTCATTGGTATTTCAGCATTTGATAACAACTGATAATCTTTCATTTCGCTTTGCTGTTTTAGAATTTGTGAGCGTTATTTGTGATTTTTTCAAAAATTAACATTAATTGAAGGGCAAAGGATATAGGTTCGGACCTCTAAAAGGGTCCAGGTCCATGTGCACAGCACACTTTTCACACCCTGTTGGTACGACGCGGTATATTAAGCATATAAATATTTAAGATGCAACTTTTTCCTTGTACTTGGATGTATATAGGTTGTGAATAAATGTATTACTATTATTATTATTATTATAACCAAAATTGAAACAAAAGACAGTGACTAGTTCGTTCTACAACGGCCACATTAAATCAGTTATCTATAGATCCGTCAAGTAATGAGTACCTACTCCACAATATAGGTTCAATAGAAAACGTCTTTCGCGTCACAGAAACTAAGCACCGAATACGCATTCGTCTATAACCATATATATGTACCCTAAATTGTAAATTTGAAGGTGAAATAAACTTCAATTTATGAATTAAATTTACTAAAATGGATATATCATAGAATTATATTTTATTATTCTTTTTCAATTTTTTATTTCAATATTTCCGTAGGTTTATTGTGAACATTATTTATTCTTTTGCGACAATGGCGTCGAATATTAGAACTTGTTGGTGGTTTTTGAAAAGAAAATGCCTCATATTATTTATAATGATAATAATTTCAAGAAGTGTGGGTAAGTATTTTGCTTGATTTTTTCCCCTGAAATATAAACAGGGAACTTGAAATTGAATAATGTTTTTTTATAAACATTATGTATATGCACATATATATATATATATATATATATATATATATATATATATATATATATATATATATATACAGTAGAGTCCGTTTATAATGACATCGAAAGGAATTGACAAACACGTCATAATAAGCGGACGTCATACAAATCGTTTTGTGAAATGAAAAATCTTTTTTATGTAAATATGTATGTACTTAAGTATTTTAATACAGAAACATAGTAATCACTAAATTTGTAAACATACATATTAAATCAAAATCAAAATTGCACGTAATCAGCACATTATAACACATACAAGTGTATTTTTTACTGTAAGTAATCTGTAATTTTTGTCTGCTTTTGTTTTTTTTCATTTTATTGTAAAAACAGTCTCTAATACTATTGTGTATATAAGACATAGCTATGGTCAAATTATCATTTTCAATATTGCTGTGAACAAATCGTGATAATAATTCTGCAGCTTTTAATGCCTCTTCTGCAGTAGGTAATGGTGCTTCTCGACTTCCTCTTCCCCATCACTTTCGAGTTGTTCCTTAGCACTAATGTTCTGTACGATATTTTCATCGGTGGGTTCTTCGGATGTGAGGAGAGCGCTATCGATGTCAACATATTCTTCCCACATTTCTGGTGCTGCTAAAGAATCTGAATGTAGGTTTCGTGACCACAAAGATAAAGGAATGTCATCTTCTTCTTCGAATTCATGTTCTGATATTTTAATAGGTAAACCGTCGTGGCTTTCAATAAATCCTGCATGTTTAAAACAGTTATGAATGGTACTTTGTGACATTTTATTCCAGGCATCATTAACCATCAGAATTGCATCTAGCACCGTTATTTTTGTAGAAGAGTTGTTTTCATTAGCATCAAGACAATTAATCATTTTGAGCACAAGGTTCTTCCTAAAATTCGTTTTGAGTGATCGTATTATTCCCTGATCCATTGGCTGTAGTACTGATGTTGTATTCGGCGGAAGGAAAGCAAGTGTTATAGACTTTAAATCAGGAACATTTGGATGCGCCGGGCAATTATCAACCAGCAATAGAATCTTTTTCTTCTTCTTTACCAAATCATGATCCCAATCACGAAGCCATTTTTCAAAAAGTGCTGACGTCATCCAAGCTTTACGATTGTTAGCATAATCAACAGGTAATGATTTGACACTTCTAAAACATCTTGGTTTTTGTGACTTTCCAATAATGAGCAATTTCTTCTTCTCTGTGCCACTCATATTCGCTGCTACCATGACAGTTATTCTTTCTTTCGACAACTTACCTCCACTACAATTTTCACCTTTAAATTTTAAAGTTTTATCCGGCATCAATTTGTAAAAAAGTCCAGTTTCATCAGCATTAAATATCTCATCATCAGAAAATTGTCTTCGTAAATTCGGCCACACAGATATCAACCAGTTTGTTGTTGAATTTTGATCAACAGACGAAGATTCACCGACAATTTTTCCCGCCACAATGTTATGTCGAACTTTAAAACGACTGATCCAGCTTGCAGAACAATTGAAGTCGAGAATACCAAAACGCGCGGCAAAACCATTTGCCTTTTCCTGTAGCATAGGGCCGCTGACAGGTATTCCTTTGTTTCTCATGTTTTTAAACCACTGAATTAATGCTTGATCAACATTTTCTTGTCGTGATTTTCGAAGCCTCTTCGGTTTCAAAACATTTGAATTGAACGACTGCTTAATGCGGTTCTTGTTTTTGAAAATCATTGAGATTGTCGAATGACCCACGCCAAATTCCTTTGCGAGACATGAGTTAGATTCACCATTTTCTAATCTGCATATTATTGCACCTTTCTCCTCAATTGTAAATGCTTTACGTCGTTGAGACGACATTTTTTTCACAGTAACAAACGAAAAACAATGCGTGACCTTCAAGCGTCAATTACTCACTGAGATTCAAAACAAAAACGAGCCACGTGCCGAACGTCGTCCGTCGGGAATCAACGAACATTACCGGAGGTGTGAAGAATCATGTCGGTCATTATAACCGGACATAATTTATTAAAAATGGGTCATAATAAGCGACATGTCACTGTAAAGGAAGTCATTATATCCGACTTTTTTATAAAGAATTTTATATGAAAACCAAACTTCGTAGTGTAATTACGGTAATTACGTCATAATAACCGGTTGGTCAATATAGGCGGAGTCATAATAAACGGATTCTACTGTATATATATATATATATATATATATATATATATATATATATATATATATATATATATATATATATATATATATATATATATATATATATATATATAACATAGGTGAGAGAGTAAATCACCGTAACAACATAAGTCACACTGAGTACGTAACACATAAAGTCTATTGAGATTGTGGTTTGTGGGCGAGGTTCCTTAAAATGATCTGAAAGTGAATAACTATAAATTTAGCACAACCTGGAATCGTTCGTCTTGTTATTAATGCTGTTGGTGTTGTTGCTGATGTGGACCATTTCCAAAAAAAATCCTTTTTTGGTAACTGACAGCTACATCCAGTATTCCAACATTGTCAAAGTCAAAACGATCTCCTTGTTTTGTGGAGTGTGGTGGGTGCCTAGGCACATCTGTCCGGCCAGAGTCTGACATCACTTTTATGAAGATGGTTTATTCTTCTTTAAACGGTCTGAGAAGTTTGACCTATGTAGACTTCTTCACAATCTAAGCACGGAATACTGTAGAAGTAATCTGATGTTGATGATGGAGGTACTTTATCTTTGAGTCTAATGTAAACAAACTTTTACTGTAGAGATGGAGACAGATAGGTCTGTACCTTTTTTGGATACCAGAGTGATTAGGTCCGAAGATAATATTATCAAGTTGGATTGGTATCAAAAGCCGTCATCTTCGGGTAGATGTTTGCACTTCCGATCTCACCACAATATGAATATGAAGCTAAATATAATCAATCAACTCAAGAATAGAATTGTAAATATTGTTTACAATTCAAGTCATGGCTCACTGTCCCGTCTGGGAGACATCTTGGTTGACAATGGATATCCAAGAACACTGGCAAGAAAGTTCCTATGTAATACAAACATTAGACCACCGGTTCCCACCTCTACAACTGACCTTGATATGAATCACAACACACAAGCTCCATTAGTTAAATACATATGTTTGCCATATTTCCTGTCTCTCACGGAAAAATTGTGTCACATTATTGGTGCCAAAGATGATCTAAAACTTTTTCTTAGATCATCTTGTAAGTCTTTTTAGTCTTGTTAAAGTGTTTTTACAAGATTTAAAGATAAAGTACCTCCATCATCAACATCAGATTGTATCTACAGTATTCCTTGCTTAGATTGTGAAGGGGTCTACATAGGTCAAATTTCTCAGACCATTAAAAGAAGAATAACTCTTCCTGAAAGTGTTAGACTCCGGCCGGACAGATGTGCCTTGGCACTACACTCCGCAAAACAAGGACATCGTTTTGACTTTGACAATGTTGGAATACTGGATGCAGCTGTTAGTTACCAAAAAAGGATTTTTTGGAAACGGTCCACATCAACAACAACACCAACAGCATTAATAAAAAGATGGACGTTTCCAGCTTGAGCTGCATTTATAGTTATTTACTTTCTATATATCTGGTATAGACTACCTATATAATACTTTCTGGTTGAGGTTGAATAGACGAGATTAAGCCAATAATGAACATATGATGTGCGATAGCGATGGGCGATTGTGAATAGAAAGAAAATGGAATGAATCGATAAATGTTCATATTCGATTATAGATTGCGCCGCTATGTAAAAAACGAAGAAAAATTAACTATAACGCGTAGGATGATAACATCTTA